TTCCACAAACATTGGGTGGGGGGTTGAATTATTCCAAAAGAGTGAAACAGCTTGGAAATCTCAACCCAAGCATCTGTCATGACAAGCACAAGACAATGTTGAACTGTCTTCTTTGATCAGGGACTATCAAAGGGGCCCTGTAGAGTTTGGCTTATAAGTCCCATCGAAATTTAATAGTTGCAACATTTTAAATGTCTTTGACTCCATCATAGCACTAACTTTTACCTTTTTTCTTGGTTGTCAAAAGACTTGAGCTATTTCTTTCTAGCGCTTGAAAAAACAAAGGCAAGTGACATCTAAATATCATCAACATGTGCCAGCATTCAATCTCTCAATAATGCCTTAATAAACCCATCATAACTAAAGCCAGGTGAGTAATTTAATGCTAATTATTTCCAATTAACTGCTTCTTTTAAAAACAAAAGCAAAGTGAAATTTTAATGTTTCTTTATCAACTGTGAACATTTCTAATTTGCAACTCACAGAGTAATCATTTTGACTTTCAACTCCAGCTAATTTAAAACCAAAATCCTATACAATTCCCAACTAGATGAATTACAGACCCTCAGTTCCACTGTCAGCTTTGATCAAATCTAAAATTTAGAAAACTTCAAATAATATACTCTAATGCAAAAAAAAAAATAAAATGTAGAAGCACAGGAGCTACAGAGGAGGAAATTTTTTCTTTTTTTTAATACATTGTTATCTTATCATCAATTCCCACATATACAGAGGCTTTTGTCTTTGAAAAAAGAAGCACTTCATTGGTGAGGAAAAATAATTCTCCCTTAAAATTTTTTATAATATGTCTTAATGCTTGTTCTTATAACAGTTTGAGGTCAAGGCAAAAGAGCCTAAATTCCCAGCCACTGAAGTGAACCTACTGCCAGTCCCCAGTGCCTGGAGCTGAGCCAGCTCCTGCCCAAGGCACTGCTGACTCAGAGTGCCAGAGGAGAACCAATTCCTATTCCCCAGCCTCAGCCAAACCAAAAACCCAAGCTCCCAATCCATGAGAGTTGTAATTCCCAGCTGCTGGCACTGTGCCTCACACCTTGCTCCCCAAATGGGAAGGGAAATCCAGGCTCACCTGCTCCACCACAGCCACATCTCTTGGCCCCTGCTCAGCTCTGCCTCCAGGCCTGTGTGACAGCATTCCCCAATCCCCCTCCTTCCCTCTCCCCCACAGGACCTCTGCAATTCTTCCCTGAAAGGCAGAGAAGGGTTTGCCTTTGACAATCCACACAGGTAAAGGGATTAGGTGATAAAGAGTAATTAAATTGACAGTCTAATTTAACACTTTGCATTTTGCGTGCTTTTACTGTGTGCTGTTTGAGTTCTTAATAAAAGGTTTAATACACTTTTCATGGCACTTAATACCGTGGAACTAAGCAGCTTTACAGCTAAAGGTCTGGGACTTGCCCAGCTGCTTAATATGCAGGCTAGCATATCCTAGGATTCTTCTTTTGCAGCCTCAGGGCAAAATACCTATGCCCTGATGGAAGTTTTGCTCTGGGGCCGAGCAAGCTGTTCACCTGTCCCACACTCTGGTCCCAGCTCTCTCCAGTTGTGAGAGCCTTCTCCTGTCCTGCCTTCCACCACCATTTTCTGGATGTGATATTCCAGCCCCTAGAGGCATAGTTCAGCATCCAAATCTCACCAGGCAGGGCACAGGGGAACCTTCACCTTCTGTGCTCCTACAGAATGTGGCCAGATTCCCTGCAATCCAAACCCCTCTTGGTGTCCTCAGGCAGGTGGTTTCTCTCTGAAACCCTGGAAGTTGTTCAGGTATTGTCTCACAACAACTGAAGTTGCTGACTGCACCAGCCATCAGAGCTGCCCAAGGATGATCAGCAGCTGCATTGAGCTGTCAGGAGCCAAAAGTGACATGGCTGTGGATTAATGGCCCAGCCTGTCAGGATGGCATGTATTTGCTGTGTGCAGAAGATGAAACATCTACTTTCCAAAGAGCAGGATTTGCTTTACAATAGACCTCTGCATTGCCCAGAGCAGCAATATTTTTCTGTCACTGAACGTCAACAAGCTACAGTCTGGAGTAAAATATGTTTTACTAAACCTCTGAATTCAGAGAGCTTCATATTCCTCCATGGCAGATGTTACAAATATGCAGACAGACAGTCCTTATTGATCCAAATGGTTTGCAGAAACTCCATTTGAAAGCATATGTTTCTCTGCTCGACATTTTGACATGAATGACAAGACAAAGCTAGGAATGCAAATGCACAAGAAGAAACTGTTCTTGTCTTGTAAAAGCACATTCCCCCTGCCAAAGAGTTGGTAAATGTTGCACAACTAATCACAGCCCAGAAAGATGTGTGAGCTGACCTACAGGCACAGAACAGGAGGGGAAATCCAACAGCACAGACTTACTACAGCCTGAAAGGATCTGCACAGCCCAATACAACCACTGCTTGTTCTCTCCCTGTGCCAGGACCAGTCTAACAGCAAGTTTCACCATGCAGAATCACATCAATTTCAGGAGACCTTCATGTAAAGAATGACAGCAGCATCCAGCAATTCATATGCTCCCCAGTCCATGGGCCAGGGCACATTCACACTCCAAACACAGCATTTTTGCCATTTAATTTCCAGGCCTCACAACCCTTGCTGATGGGCCTGCACCCTCAGCCCTCCTCTCTGGAGACCTGCAGCCCCCAGCTCCTCCCCAGGCTTGCCTCCAGTTCCCTTTCCCCAGCAGCTCCCCATCCCAGGGCTGCTCTGGGGCTCCCTGCTCCCACAGCAGGGCTCTCTGGGATGTTGGCAGCAAACCCTGCATTGAAATGCCACCTCACCCCACTGGGAATAGACCTGGGGGCTCCACTCCACCTTAGTGTCTGCTAAACTGGAAGCTGAAAGCTCTTGTGACCAAAGCACTCTCCCAAAAAATTCTCACCATCATCCAAGCTGGCTTTAGGATCAAGCAAAACATCACAATATATATTTTCCTGGCTGGCTCTTAAAGGGCAGCTAAAACACAGAACTGCTAAATTTCAACAGCCTGTAAATGCTCTACCTGCCCACACCCAGCACTTGTCAGGAGTTTCTCCTGCCCCATTATCTGCCCAGCAACAGAGCCAACAGTGCAAAGCAGCATCCTCATGCACAGGCAAACCCCACACATGGGCACTGCCACTGCCTCACTCCAGCAGGACAGCCCTGGCCCTTCTCCTGGGGGCAGTGGGCAGCAAGCAGAACCAAGACAACTGGAATCCCCAGTAGTGCCCCCATGAAAAAGGGTCTGCAACCTGTAACTATAACTACAGCCACAGCACACTGTAACCTGTAACTACAGCCACTACAGCAGACTGAACACAGAAACATCTCAGTGTCTGCTTAGATTTACTTGCAATTAAACATTTCAGCACTTCAGTGGGCTGGCATATTTTGCTGCTGGTAAGTATTTAATTTGACAGATTTGCTTCAATATAAATCATATAAAAACACATTAAACAAAAGCCAATTTATTTTTCTGCTGATATATAGAAAGGGCTGTATAAATCTGGGATCTCTCTTCACAGTTGTCATGGTGTGTAGACTTGCAGTTCAGTGCAGACCCCAGTGCAGCAGAGCACTCAAGGTTAACTTAAAACAGCTGAGCAGTCCCAGGGAGTTCAAGGAGCTCACTCACCTGCTTAAAATTAGGCACATATGTAATTTGCAACGTGCATTTAAACTCCACCATCAATCCCTTCTGTTCTTTTAGCTGCAATTCTCACCTGAAGCGTAGGGCTCTGCTGCGTTCTACTTAACCACTTTGGAAATAACTCCATAAGAATACAGATACGTTTCACACAATGAAAAGAATTTTAGAAAAATACTGAAACATAAAAAAACTTCCAAGAGGCTTCCTTTCACGGCTGAGGGACTTTTTAGAACCAGAGTCTAAAAGCAGACTGATAATTACCTACAGCTGTAGGCAATTAACCCTCAGGCTCCATCTCCCCACCCATACAGTTTCCATTATAGCACTGTAGCAAAACCGTTAAAAACTGAAACAAAGTTTTTTATCTCGAAAAAACGTGGGGGCACAACGAGCTGTGTTGGAGGGTTTTCACCTAGAAATGTTTCAGGGGATATCCACATTACAGCCACAGGTAGCACATTATACAGAAATCAGATTCTGTCCCAGCAACTCATCCAAGGGTTTGAAACTTCAGCAAAAAGGGTAGAGATTTTTTTTTGTTTGTTTAAGCTTTTTACTTACCTTTTTGCTGTGTGTATTTATGAGTCTGAGGATTTCTCCTCCTCCTTATGTGATATAGAGGCCAAACAGACCCCCTCAAAACTACAGAGCCTTATAAATGCAACAACAGAACTAGTAACTGAAAGATAACACACCTTTCAAAGAAACCGATAAATATAAATTCAAAAAACACAAAGCAACTCTCCCATAGTTGTGCTCTACTACCACACAATGTGAAGTTTCTACCAGCATTAATTGATTTCAAAGAAAGCTATCAATTTCAGCAGGGACAAAAGAAAATAATTTAGGTAGTGTGCCTGAAAGCTTACAGCAAGAAAAGAAAACAACCCACAATAAAAAAAGAAATCTCCATTAAGGCTGACAGTAAATTTAGGACAAAACAAAACTCAGTAAAAAGCTAAAGCACAACTTGCTTTTCTTATTGGTTACCTTACAAGCTTGGAGAACCCACATTTTGTTCTGCTTCCCTCCAACACCAGAAGAAAGCACCAGGCGTGTTCAGGAACCCAGAGACCTGAGCAGCTCAGAGCACAAAGCCCAAACTCTGCCTGCAGCCCGAGAAGTGAGAGCTTTATGGGGAGCTGATGGGAGCTGATTGAGGTGATTTGTCCCAGCTGCAGCCCTAAACAGCCCCGGGAGCGTCTCCCAGCAAACAGCCCACAGCTGCTTTGGGTGAAATCACTGATTACAGCTGATTCTGCCCAGCTGAGCAACAATCAAGCCAAAAAACAGGCACCGCCAAACAAATCATTTCAACTCTTAAATAATATAACGACTGTTTCTGGTAGAACAAATGCTGTTTTTATTTGTTTCCTAAAAATTAAGAAAAATAATAATTAGCTGAGGCAACTGCTTGTATGATGGAATTGAGGCTTCCCATACAAGTAATACAGCTTTACTAAACATGAGTTGTAACCATCCTTTTCTCCCTCCCCCTTCACCACATGTCAGATTTTACCTTTAATTTTGCCTTTCTTCAGAGTTTTCTTCTGACTTTCTCCTTGCCTTTCCCAGGATGATGCCAAAGGATGTGGTTTCTCTGAGAAATTTCCAACAGGGTCCCCCAAATGTGTTGTGTTTAGATTTATGTCACTCTTTAGCTGCTCACAATGTAAGTTCAAGTCAGTAAAGCAAAATAAAATAAAATAACAAGGTCTGAACACTGTGGTTTCTGTACCACCCCACTAACATTGATTTCCTCCAAATGCTCCACTTGTCACCAACCCAACAGCTTTAAGCTCAGAAGAGAGCTATTCCAAAATTTTAAAAGATTTTAGGAAGAATTTTCTTTCTTTAAGCAATCTCAGCATAAAGTTTAAACTGTAATCCATGTTACATGCTCAAAATTGTAATAAAGTTCCTCTTTTAGGTTAATTTTTGAGACATTTTCCTTTTCAGAGCCACCCCAGTTTATAGAAAGGAGTGCTCTTGAGCCCAATATTAAGAGCTAAACCTTCACCTGCTGAAACTCAGTATGCTTGACCCATTCCCTGGAGGGAAGCTGATTTACACAGGTGAGAACCCAGGTTCAAGTGGTTTATTCTATGAGCAGACTAAGAAAAAGTGAATTGTTTTGCTGAGACTTCACCTACAATGTAGCAATGGTTATCAAAGCAAGGCAGATATTGGGAACTTCACTTTGCAAGACAAGTATTGCACACATGTAGTTGTAACTCAGCATAAAAACATTCTATCAAGTTTCAACTCTGAAATTAAAAAGCACAATTACTCTTTTTTTTTTTTTCCATTGCAACAGGAAAACATGATATACTAAGAAATAAGAGCAATGCATTCTTCAGATTGAAAGCAGATTGCCCATGGATTGCAAGCAAATAGAAGAAACTGAGTCACATTTTGGTAAGAAAGTAATTTCTAAACTAATGGGTTGGTAGAACAAGACAGGCTAGAAGTGCTGTGCCACAGATGTCACTTTTGTGAAAGCTCATCATCAAAAGAGCACAATAAAAGGAAGGTACATTTCATGTTCAATCACCTTTGCAATGTAAACATTCCAGAGGAGTTGGGATATTTGGGGTCACACATTATTCCCTATTTTAAGTACACTCAGGGAAGTTCCAGTTGAAAAACCAGAGCACAGTTTGGTCTTCAAAGTTTTCAGAAACTGCTGCAGTTTTTCTACTTCAACTTGCCAGATATTAAAGGTGAAGGGTCAAACCTGCAGGTGGTGTAAATAAGCACAGCTCTGTGAGAGCTTTCACCTTATGCTCATTTACATCACATGGAAATTATATTTCTCACTTCTTCTGTGAGTAATTGCACATGTATATATATACATATATATATATATATATGCATGTGTGTGGTGAATACATATTATAGAGAAAGTGAATGCTTTGATCTGTCAAAAGGAAGATACAAATATAAAACAGGAGACAGGATATGAAAATCATACATTCTGCATTTACTTTGAAAACTGAAAGTTATGGGGAAAGAAACATTGTTTATGTTCAAGGAGAACCTGGTGATTTGCTTCAATAATCTAAAACCAAACCACTAGCACATGAAGGATTTAACAGCTTCCTGTCAGGGCTGACAGGCTCAACCTATGACTTGCTAACTTTTATATTAACAAATAATTACTAGACAGTGAGAGATCCATGGCAGATTCCTAGTTCTGCAGTGTAGACCCTGGTGCAGCAAAGCACTCAAAACTTAAGGTTAACTTAAAGCAGCTGAGTAGTCCCAGGGAGTTTGGCCAGCTCACTCACCTGCTTAAAATTAGGCACATATTTAATTTGAGACCTGTGTTTTAACTCCACCATCAATCAGCAATGCATTTCACCTGTGCACAAAGCAGGTGCTCCCCACAGGGCTCACACATGCTTAAATACTTTTCTGAAAGAGGGCTGCGTGGTTTGATTCTTCAAGAATGCTGCTCAAGATGCTGCTCATCACAAGTGTAGTCCTGCAAAGCATTCAAACAGGTGAGTCACATCCTGTGCATGAGAATAAAGGAGCTCTAACATCACTGATAAATTAGACTGCACTTCCAAACTTTACAGCACACAGCAAGAGTAAGCCAGGAGGAGAACACTGAATATGAAGAATGCTAAAGTTTATCCCCAAAATATATCGTATTCACAATTTTTTCCACAAATGCAGGTCAGTTAAAATTACAGTGCTTTAGTCTATAATATGAAAAAGATCTAATATGAAAGCAGAGATGCCTTAGTAAAAGAGGGTTTCAAGCCCCTGCTCTGGGCTTTGCTGCAGCAAGTCAGCAGCATGTTTTGTGAGTAACAGCTCAGCAGCAGCTCAGGACACCTCCAGCAGGTTTGTGTGCCACAACAGATCACACCCTTGTGGCCACTCAAGCACCTCCTTGCACCTTTTCTACAGCATGTTCCTCTGCTGCTGCTAAAATCTTAAATTGGTCACAAAATGAGAGATTTTTCCAACAAAAATCCTTGCACTCTTTATCCAAAGCATCTTTACAGATTTCTGTGTGTACATAATCTTTTAGTGCAGCTATTTCTGCCATAACTAATTAGTGTATTTATTGAAGATTTTTTTTTCCTGTGGCCATAGGTTTGTTAAGACAACAAATAGAAAAAATAATATGACAAAAGAAGAACAAAAATCCAAAGTTTTTGTGGGCCAAACCTCCAAATAGCATAAATCTAGTCAGCAAATAGTGCAATTTGTGCCAAGCTACAAAATTGCACCATCTTCATGAGAAACCAGCTTGACAATAGACAAATGAATCCCTCTAAGAATACTCCTCCTCTAAGCCCATCATCAATATTACTCATTTAAAAAGTGTTAGGCTGAGTATACTCTTCCATAAGGCTGGTTTTATGTCACAGTTTGACTTTTCTTCCCTACTGCTTAAAGTAGAAATGTAAAAATGTGGGGACTTTAATCACCCCATAAATATATGTGTTGTGTAATTATGCAAATCAAATTAGGAGCAGTGAATGGAATGTTTATTTACCCAGAAACCTGACCCAGATTGCCTGCTGACTTTCCTGGGATGTGAATGCATTTTTACCTCTGTTCAAACAGAATTTTTCACCCTAATGTAGACAGTGATTTTGCCGCACCAGGATCTACAGCCTTTTCCAAATAGCAGTGCTCTAATAAAGTGAAGAAATCCAGCTGCAAAGGGAAATTACAACCTGGTATTAGGGAAAAATTTGAGAAGACACTAAATTATCCCAATTTTGAAAGAGAGTGATGGTCCATGAAGAGTAGGAGGGGGAACAGGGATCCATTATGTTTGGCATTTAAACTTCAGTTTGGGAAGGAAACAATGTGTTAGATTTTTTGGTTTGGTTTTTTCTTGTCATACGACATTGCACTGGTAATATTTGCATGACAAGACATTAAATAAGCAATATGTGTTGCTCTATCTTTGTCTTCTGTTTCACAGACAAAAAAAAAGGCTTTGTACAGCCATTTCTACCAAGATTATAGACATGGCCATTAAAATGTTTCTCTTTACAAAATCAATGGAAAAAAAGCAGAGCTGTGCTTATAGTCTTGTCATTCAGGGATATGATTTCAACAGGGAGCATTGCATCCATTACACAACAAATTCAGTGAAATCTTAAAGAAAGAGATGGCACCAGAGGGCACAGTCACTGCAGTGCCATTATCTCCTGCCTTTACAGTTCCTCTTTGCCTCACTCCATTGGTTCCTCCCCATTTTCAGTCATGTACACAAGAAAAAAAAGAGCTGAGCAGTTTTTCTTAAAAGCTTTCCCCTTAACCTAAAACCTGTTGTTCATCAAAGCATTTATATATATAATATATATGTCATAATATATATAATATATATTATATATATATGTATAACAAAACATAGAAAGTTAAATAAAAAGAGCCACACAGCACAGCTGACAGTAAAACCACATTCCAATAATCCTGTGCTTAAATTTAGAAACTGTGTGGAAGTTTAAATCCTTGTTAGAAGGAAAATGTTCTCTGTTTATTGTTTGTTGGATTTGAGTTATAATTCACCTTTAAAGCATTTTTTACTGCTATGCTAATACCAGCTGCTAAGTTCTCTGAGTGAATTGTCATCTTGGCTATAAAACAGGGTTCTGGGGAAAGGAGAAATCTGAGTATGGTGAATTTTTCTAGCAAGAAAGAGATAATTTTTTTGCTCTTAAAAAAACCATACCTGTAAGGGAATAAGTGTTGAAATCCATGGGAAAAAAAGAAAAGTATGGCCCTCAGTCCCAGTAACAGGTCTTCTTTGGCACTTGAGAACGACCACAAGTAGTTTGCCTTTTTATTCATATAGAACAAAATTTACAAAGTCATTCATACATTTTTGTTTGTTTTTTGTTTTGTTTTTTACTTACTTCGAAAATTGGGAATATTCAAAATACACTTTTACCCCACTTCATTCTTTCATTATTTACAAGTATATACAAGAAAAATGTAAGAGTTCATTTTCTTTTTCTTTTTTTTTTTTTTGTTTCTTTTAAATTTTGTATTAAAAATCTCTGCTGGTTGTTTGTACTGTTTGTTCTCGTCATATGGACGTTCCGTGCGAGGGCTCCATCGCTTCTGGGATGACTCCCCCCGGCACGGACTGGAATGACATTGGGATCGGGGTTTTCACGGGGCTCTGCCGGAATAGTCCTCCGTTGGGTGACCTGTGTTTGCACTGTATGGAGGGCATGGTGGCTGAGCTGCTCAGGGGCAGCGGCAGGTTGCTGCCCGAGGCAGCTGTCAGTGTCCTGCTGGCACCATGAGTTGTCTGTTCTGGTAAAAAGGTGCTGACAGAAAGTTGCGTGTTCTGGTACTCGCGCACCGGCTCCAGGGTCTGGGCTGGCTGCATGCCCCCGATCTCCAGCGCCGAGATCTCGATGGACGCTGGGGAGATCTGCTTGTGGGCTATGTCTTCATCAATTAAACTGTTCATGCGTCTGTGCACCTGCTCCAGATTCACTTCTTTGTCCTAGTGGGGAAGAAACCAGAGCAATCAGTCCAAACACAATGTCCAACCCCATCTGGCCCCCTTCCTTTCCTCTGTGTGACCAGAGCTGCCGATCACTCATTACATCACTTGGATTTCAACTGTGCCTGGGCAAAACCTCAAGGTCTGGCGACATCTCCAGATGAGAAACCTGCTGAAGAAAACACTGGCTCAATCCCAGCCTGCTGGAGCTCCCGATGTTGTCAATCCCATCCTCCTGGGAGGTAAACTGATGTCTGGCATCAGGCACCAGCACATCCCTCACACCCTTGGCTCACCTTGCACAAGCTCAGAAAAAAACCTATAGCAGGCAAACAAATGACCTGGGACTCCACATTCCACTGGGCAGCTTGGCCCTTTGTCACCACATCACAGCTCACCACTATCTCATGTATCTGCAGAGCATTTTCTAAGAACATGTCAGTAAAAAAACCCTAACTTCAGGGTGGTTGCTTCATTGAAATCTACTGGCCAGGGGTTATGGTGATGATGAATTCCTGCCCTCCCATCAGGAGGCTCTGGGTAACCTGTGCGGCACAGAACAGAAACCCACTGGAGCAGCACTGAGAGAGGCCAACTCTGGGAGCCCAGGGGAGGGAACTATGCATTTGAGTATGGAACAGTTCCATGACAGACCGTAAGCTGTCTGTCATCTTGACATGGCTTCTGGAAAAGTCTATCTGTGGTCAGAGCTCAGGAAAACAGTGTTGGTCTTTAGCTTCTGAGAATGCGTTTCCTAAGGTTCACAGAGTGGTGTCTTCATCCGTCTGTCAGAACCACTCACTCAACACACTTCAGCTTCCATGAGGAAACACAGCAAAAGTTGTCTTTAAATCCTGAAGTAGCAAAGACCTACAGTGGGCTGTTTATCACCTCAGTACAGCATTCAAGATGCTCAAACTGGGAAGCAACAAAATTGGCAGGGTGAAGTCAACCACCTGGGATGGTGTGTGACTGATTTTTAACAGCTAGCATTGTACTGCCAATAAAAAGGTATTACATTATATAATTTCTCTACATTTCATAAAGCACAGCTATGACTGCAGTTGTAGTTATTTGATGCAAGTGTAACACACAGCAGAATAGCAGCAAAGCATAACAGCCCAACAATCCTGGAACTGGAGAAATTCCCTGGTCCAACACAAACCTGTAATTACATTACTCAGAACAGCAAAGCTCGAACCTAGGCAGCAGGACTACCCAAAACTTTTGTGTTCCAGTAATCCCTGACTGCCCAAGGTCAACCTGGGCTTAAATGTTGGTTTAACACAACACCAGCAGCCTTACTGATTCATACCAAGGTCCAGGCTCTGTGAATGAAGTACAAAGTGTCACTGCCACTCACTCCTTTTAATATTTCATCACTGGTGTTCAGGTGGAGCACAGAGAATTACAATCTTATTCCAGTGGTATTCTCTGCTATGCAACTTTGCTTTCCCCTGTAAATTGACAAGCCAACTCCAAAGTCCTTGATTCCAGTCAATGTCAACTACAGATTCAATTGTAACCCTGTGATTTAACACCCCTTCTACATTACTCAAGAACCGTTGAATTTGCTGATCCCTGCATGGGTTTGGAGATGAATTAGTGTTACATGATGTACAGTTCAAACCTGTGTCCTTAGCTTAGGCTAAATCCATATTGATTTCAAATGGAATACAATTGCTCCACAATTACAGGGCTGAGCTGCATGTTGCAAATTCTTTGCTAATCAGTGGAAAATGAATTCCTATTTAATTTCTGTCATAAATTCACCAAAATCCCAGTGAAGCTCCCAGAAACCTGGGGATATAATCTTCCTCACCAAAGAAACAAATAACTTTTTAAAAATCCTGCTTTTTCAGCCAAATCCTCTAATCAGATAATTTTGAATTAGAGACAAATCAATGGATAATAAAATAAAAAATAAACTTTTTTGACATGAAGGGATCACA